AATTGCTCCCCTCTCTGCAGTGGGGAGAGGGGCTGTTTAGGAGTTCCCAGGGCCCTGGGCACATCTGTCTTACAGATTACTATCTACCTGTATAGGTTTCTGAAAGGATGTCTAATTTTGCTTTGAATACTGTGTGCTAGGAGAAGCCAAGTACATTTTTAATTGACTGGAATGTCTCTGAAATCGTCATGCAGGCCGGGAGGACTTTTGTAATCAAAGTCTAACCTATAAATTTTAGAATGGAACAAACTGTAATACTAACTTTAATCATGAAAGATACTGACACTGATATATTTGGGAGACACTTCATTAAACATCTTTGGCTTTGAATTTGCAGAGTTAAGAAATATTTCAGAGCCAACAACATTGTCTTTATGTCCCGAACATTCTGATAAGCATTTTGAAAGCCTGTTGGCACTAGTTATTCTACCTGCCTTGCCTAAGGGCTGACACCGCGTGCTGTGCCTGGTGTTGGTAAAACAGATGATCAGACAGGGCGCTCTCCCTTGAGGAGCTCACAGTCGGAGAGGGAGGCAGATACAAACAGGCAGCTTTCCTGTTGAGTGACAAGTGCAGGATACAAAGGAAACAAAGGAGGGAGGTGCCAGGAGAGACCATCCCGAAACACGTCTAGACAACCTGTTCCATCAGCAGAAAACTATAAGCAGGTTTTTCAAAAATATACTTTTTATTGATGTCAGAGAGGAAGGGAGAGGGAGATAGAAACATCAATGATGAGAGAGAATCACTGATTGGCTGCCTCCTGCTCGTCCACCACTGGGGATCAAGCCCACAACCCGGACATGTGCCCTGACCGGGAATGGAACTTTAACACTCAACCACTCAACCACACCGGCCAAACTAAGCAGTTTATTTATTCAACAAACAATGTTTAAGTGGTGAGAGCATCAGGCACAGGGGAGGCAGGCAAACAGGGGAGAGTGCAGACTGGCGACAAGAACCAGGACCACCACCTGCAGCGCAGAGGCCACAGGTGATGAAGTGCATCCCGAGGGGTGTCGGGAGCGGGGGGAGGGGGACAGGGAAGGAGGGGAAGGGGAGATGCTGGAACAATACAATGAGCCTAAATAAGCATCTTAAAATGCAAAATTCTGGAAGTAATGATTCATGTTTTCCCACATTCTATTTCAATCATTTACATTAGGAACAATGATAACTTTTTAAAAAACCCACAGCACATAAAAGTTTTTGAATAGGGAAAATAAAAATTAATAAGCATTCAAAACTGGAAGAATAAATGAACTTATGTAACTTCTCCTGCCCTCAGGGATCACCCTCCTTTACTACCTAAATCTCTCTTGCCCTAGCCCTGGGAGTGGCCCCAGGAAACCCCGCCCCTTCACAGACTCCGCCCCCCCGCCCCCGACAAACCCCTCTGCTCCCAGGATCCTCTCTGCTGCTGAACTCTCTCTTTCTGGCTCTCTCCATTTCACTCTCCACCTCTTCACAGGCTGTTTCCAGCACATTTTCCACTAAGCACCATCAACAAGCGCTCTGGCACTGACTTCCCAAATGATTTGAACAAAGAATCACTGCTAACTCAGAAATCCCTTCTTACAAAGAATCCTATATAACGAAAGGCTAATAAGAAAATCGACCAAACCACGGAACTACAGGTTGCTATAATGTGCACTGACCACCAGGGGGCAGACGCTCAACGCAGGAGCTGCCCTCTGCTGGTCAGTGCACTCTCACAGCGGGAGCACCACTCAGCCAGAAGCCGGGGTCACAGCTGGTGAGAGCAGCAGTGGTGGCGGGAGCCTCTCTCGTGGCAGCGCTAAGGATGTCCAACTGATGGCTTAGGCCCACAGAGCTCCCGGTCTGCAAGTGGGCGCAGGCTGGGCTGAGGGCCCCCCCCACCTCAAGTGCATGAATTTCGTGCACTGGGCCTCTAGTTATACAATAAAACAACAGAATTGAAAGTTAGAAGCTAAATTTTACATATGTATATGTTTAAAAGCATCATACAAATTACATTTTACTGCCTGGCCAGTGTGGCTCAGTGGTTGAGTGTCAGCCTATGAACCAGGAGGTCACGGTTACATTCCCAGTCAGGGCACATGCCTGGGTTGCAAGTTTGATCCCCATTAAGGGGCATGCAGGAAGCAGCCGATCAATGATTCTCTCTCATCATTGATATTTCTCTCTCCCTTTCTTCCTCTTTAAAATCAATAAAAATGTATTTTTAAAAAATTACATTTTACTATAAAATACAGGCATACCTTGGAGATATGGCAGGTTCTGTTCAAGATCACCATATCAAATAGCAAGAAGAGCAATGTGAGTGGTCATTTTTGTTTTGGTGGAAGGTTTGTCTTTAGTTTGTAAAAAAACGCAACACCTGTGAAGCGCAATAAAGTTACGCACAATAAAATGAGGTCTCCCTGTAATGCATGATCAGAAAGAAAAAAGAAAATAAAGAAAACTTTAAAGAATATCTTTTAAACCACTTCATCTTACCACTCGTGTGTTTATGGACATAAATACAGCAACAGACATGCTTTTAAAATTAGGATCATATTGCATATTTGCTTTTAAAAATCATTTAACATCTTATCATGTACAATTTAAATGTTCCTGAAAAACAATAGTCGCACACGTTAATGGTATTATGGACCAAAAATAGACTTAACCATCCTCCTAATGTTAGATATCAAAGTAGTGTTCAATGTTTTACTGTAACAATGTATTACTTGCACAAAACCCCAAAAGAATCGACTACAAAATGCCAACAAAACGATAAACATCAAAACCAACTCGTGTTGACGTTCCTACAAAATGTACTGTTGTATCCAATTCCTTGTTAGATATAATTCATAAAAATGTTGTTACATTTGAAAACTGTGTCGGTGGCGCTTCTTCAGTCGCAAGGATTTCTGAATGTACATAGTGAGTTACCAGGGCCTAATGTAATGGAGAAAGCCACATAACTGCAGGAGAAACTAATTTTAAAAAAAACAACTTCCAATATTTTATGCAAAAGCAAGCGAATTTGTATGACGGACGTGGCTGCATTCTACCACCCTTGGTATGACACTGGGTGCGGAGCCCAAGGCTGAGCGCGCCCTGCACCTGCAAAGCCGTAAAGCGGCCCGGGCTAGTGCTCCACCGCCCCGCTCTCAGCCCTGGCCCCCTCTCCTGGGGTCTGCAAGCCACGCGGCC